ATTTATCATATTTATTTAATAACATAAAAAAAAAGAGAAAAAATATATTAATAATTCATTTTATAAAAAAACAAACAAAAACAATATCATTCATTATGATAATAATGTGTATATTAATAAACTATGTAACATAATGTAAAATAATACATAAAAAAAATAAATTAATATGCATCATTATATAACTCATACTCATATACTCCATGTTCTACATTACATGTATCATACATGATTTTAATTCTTATAAACTATACTATTTTTCTTATTATATATCGATCGTGTAAATATGTCGGTATATTTCAATAAATGGACTACTTTAGCCCATTACTATTTGTATGTCCTTTTTTTATAATAAGCACACACAAATATATAAAGAACTATTACAGTTCTAAGAAAAATTGTAACATTAAGAATATTATTTTATCAATTATATATTTGTATTATCAACCTACCCATGATAATAGAGATTATAAAAATATGGGCTGTATCACACAAAACTTAATATTGTAGAAGATTCATCTACTTCAGAACAAGAACTAAAATCCATACTATCATTATTGTCAAATATTGAATCATTACCTTCAGAATAATAAGCATACATAATGTTACGTTTTTTTCTACGTCTACTTGTGAAGGAGTGTCCAAAAGGGGTTAACTAAAAAATATATATATATAAAAATGAAGTAATTTCATAATATTTCGCATTTTATAGTAAAGTATTCTTAACTAAATAAAAATATTAATATATACTATAGCATTTTACATCTACAAATATATTTTTTATTTTTACCCTATTAAAAATTTCGTAAGCAATTATTGCACCCAGCACAGAAAAAAAGGAATAAATGGCAATTTTACTTATTGAAAAACCTTGTTCGTTTACAAAATCTGATAAATTTCCATTATTTTTATTCATTTCCTTGGGAAATTCACTCGTCGGTACTGTTGTATTTGTCATTGACACATTGATTTGTGTGCCCTGTTCGCTGCCATGAGTCTTTTGAAGAACACTATTTGGTGTTTTGCGAATTTTCTTAATGAACGACTGTACATATTCATTATATTTGGTCATGAATTCTGATGTTGATCTTTGAGATTCACAGTATACATATAAAATATTCTTATAACACCCATTCCAAAATGATTGAATATATATTTTAAATAATTCATACCATGTAAATATGTTTCTTGGATCAAATAAGTGATAATATGAGTAAAAGTGATCTGTACAAATATTACTTTCTTGTTTTTTACATAATGGTTCAAAGGAGAAAAATAAAGGTATTCTGTCTTTAAGATAATTGGAATACTTTTGGCATGCATAATATGTATTCTCGTTAATCTCATTTTTTATAAATTTATAATTTTCCATATAGTCGAAAAAATTCTTCACTTGTATCAAATATTCTAAAAGGTTTTCCTTAAATAAATACTTATATGGATGGCATAACTCCTTGTCCGTTTTTTCTCCTACTCCATAACTATTAGCTAAAAAGATTTCCCATATTCTTATAAACATGTTAAAAGTTTTATTTAAATCATTCTTCTTTTTAATATCATCAATATTTTTATATACTTCCGAGTAAAACCAATAATTTATATCAAAACAATGCTTCTTACCAAAAAAATCATCATTGTCATCTCGTAGCATTTCAATATTTTTTATAAGTTTTCCACAAAGGTTATAAGCCCATCCTTGTTCACCATTGTATGTGTTCAATACATCTTTACACAAATGGCTAATATTATTTTTATTATTTTGGTTTATCAATTTTTGATAAAATATATACGAAGGTAACAATTTTAGATGAGGACTCTATAAATCGAATAAATAATATAGTTTATATTTTGTTTTTTCACGAACCTATTTTATGCAATTTTTCATATAAATATATTTCAGTAATTAAAATCATTCAGAAAATGGTCCTAGAAAAACAAATTACATTTATTGTTTCTTCCATATGTTTATCGGTCATTGTATAATAATTTATAATGTATATATGTAGGAATATATTTTGAGACTAAAAAATTTTTATTTTATGGTAATGCGAGCAGCTAGGATATTAGTTATAAATACTTGTACATATTGTGCTTAATAAATTACAAGTATAAATGTTTCAATATTTAAGAATTTATTAATTATACTATTTAAGATTATATATATTAAAAGATGAAATATATTCTCTATTATCGCGCATTAATAACTGTATATTGTAAATCTATAACTTATAAATTAATAGTGTCTTTAAAAAATATATAGAACTAAAATCATATTTATAACAAAAAAAATGAGTTAAAATATTAATGAAAAAAAAATTATTATATAATAATTTTCATAAAAAAATATGTATATTTATATTTATTCCTTTGTACCTTATAAACATGTCTACTACTTTTGATCAATGAATTTTATTCTATTTTTACATTCATTTTATATAGTTCATTTTGTTGAAAATTATAAAAAGTCCTTTTCATTTTTTTAGAGTTATTAATATTTTTTAGAAAATTTCTCCATGATACGAATTTCCCATAAATAATTAACAAATTATATGTATATAATTTATATCATAAAAGTTAAATTTATAATATTGAATAAAAAATAAATCTAAAATGAATATTAAATTTATTTATGTAGGCTAACTCTATTTTTATCTATAAATGAGGGTATCAAAAAAAAAATATATATCATACTGCTTTTATTTTTTTTATAAATATAAAAAAGTGCACCATTCAATAAAAAGATAATTCTCATATACTACATATTAAATATATATTTATGTTTAAAGTATTAGAATTATTCTTTATCTCTTTCATTTAGTTTTTACGGAATGTATTTATCATCATTAGGCGTATGGTATTATTTATGATTTTCCTACAAATTTTGATAATTTATTGATGTAAAATAAAATAAGAATGATTCATATAAATCTTTTCATTACTGTAATATAGATCATTCTTTTTTTATATTAAAGAATATATGTAAATAATTTCATGTAGCATATAATATATTCTTAAATAATAATCTGTCTTAATAATAAAATCTCGTATAAACATATATATATATATATATTTAAGTTCTAAAAACATAAAAATATCAATTTCTTTATATAAACATATATTAAAAATATTCAGAGAATGTATTTTGAACAAATATAAATGTAATATTAGTGCTATTTCTATATGTTATACATCATTCTTATGAAATTGTTATATTACAAGTATTTATGTTTGATATCATATATCATGTAACCTTATAGTCTAAAAAAACAACAAACATGTATATTTAATATATGAATGTTAAAATACAAGTAATACGTTATTTTAGTTCATTATTTATTCAAACGTAAAATATATTTTATTTTTAGTAGTTTTTTCTTTCTTTTCTATTATAATGCTTCATTGCAATTTCATTCTTTAAATTGTAAAAAATATATATGTATGGAAAATTCATTACTCTCATAAATGATTATGTATTTGTTACTTAATTTATTTACTGATTTTATAAATATTATTCCCACTTAATATATACATTTTTTTTATTTAAATTTTTTTTTTTTTATTACATATTATTTTATTGAAATTATACTGAATTTTATATCATACATATATAGACAATGCTTTTCTTTTTATATAACCTAATTTTATCAATATTGTTTTGCAATATTTTTATCGGCTATATATAATTTTTTTTGATTATTTAATTACCTATCAATATTATTACATATAATACATAATAGTTCTATATTATTCATGATTTATCTTGTCTTTTATTACAAATATAAAAGAATTTTCATTTTTTATGTTTAAAATATAACTTATGAGGCAAAAAAATAAATAGTTCTCTAAAATAATTATGATGCTTAAAATTTTTTCAGCGTTCATTGCATAATTATAACTTCAGAAAAAAAAAATATATAAATTTATATAATCTATAAAATAAAACATTAAGAATAAAAATACATGATATTTTTTAGAAATTTTAGCTGTACATGTTTAAATTAAATGCAAAAAATAGAAAAAACCTCTATTTGCAGGTATATTATCATCTGTCTGATAATGAGTTTATTAAAAATTCTTTATTTGTATATATATAATTTAAAATGTAATTTATTAAGTCAATTTTAGTACATAAATGATTTAAACAAGAGACAATATATCTTAGAAAACATAAATATACAAAATAAAAATTCAAAATAAACATGGATATTTGAATTTTTAAATTCTTTCATATTTTTTTCTATCAATTTAGCTTAATCTATATAGTTAAATATGAGAATATATAATTTACACAACATAGAGAACCATTTTTTTCTTAAAAAAGATATAAAAATACGTATTATGTATAATAATATCACAAAAAAAAATTTTTTTTGTGTATAAAACAAACAAAAGTATCACAAAATAATTATTTTTAATGAATTCACAACTATGAATTCAAAAACAAAGTAATATTGTTATTTAAATCTAGGTAAGACTTTTAGAAAATATTAAAGACAACGTTATAGAGTAAATAGTTCTTTTTTTATCATTAAAATTAGTGTTAATTTGTTTCATTAAAACATTTTTTTGTTGTATATATAAGTATATTTTGAAATTGTAAGATAAATATTTTAGTGCATACACATGCGATTTCTGAGAAATATTTTAATTTTAACACAAGTTTTTGTAAACATTTTGAAAAAAATTCCTTTATTTAAATATAAATTCCTGAAAACATCTCATCTAAATTTGCGTTAATTATATATTATTCCTAAATATCTATTCTTAAAATCAATTATAATTAGCATAATTTAACGTTTATTAATTGAAATAAAAAAAAATAAAATTATTATTGTAAAAATATTTAGCAAATTCATAATTTTGGTAACTATATCTTTTCACCTAATTTTTATAAATTATAAATATTCTCCAGGTTTCAACAATTTTACAAAGAGTGTTCATTTACAATATTATTTCGGAGTTCTTTTTTTCTTTTTTTTTCATTTATTACTGTATTTATAATTCTGGAATATTATAAAAAAAAATGTAAAATAATAAATAAATTCAATCTCTATAAAATGTACATCGTAAAATAACAAATTTTTATAAATAGAAATATTAAAAATTGTAAAATATATTATGTAAAACGTTCAATGTAGTAGGAGTAAAATTAAAATTGCTGAATCTTCAACTTTTTTAAATTGCAAAAAGATAATTTCATTGCTTTGTTTTCTTTTTGAAGTACAATATATACAGTAAAAGCATAGAATGTACTTTGCTTGATATAAGTAAGAATAAATAGTACTGATGTCTATTGTTCTTGATTATATATTGTAGTATGTACAAAAAATTATTTGTATTATTATTTTCATGACTGAAAAACCACTATTCTAACATTGTGAAGTATTTTTCATTTTGTGTATTATATAAAATTTCTACATTAGTTAAAACGTGTAATATTCATTTAACTACTTTTTTTTTATCTAATTATGTAATAAACAGCACAACAATTATTTAATCTGCGTCTCATTACACAATTATTTTTTCCGTAATTGTTATACCAGAATATAATATAATTTTTATTCGAATATCCTCCCATACTTATAAATAATATCAGAATAAAATTTTTGCTAATTTTTGTTTAAATACTTTGTTCTAGTTTTCCCCATTAAGAAGTATTATGTCCATACATTTTAATAAGATATAAATAATATATATATATTATTTCAATAAACACATTATAAAAAGGAATTATCACATTGGCTATTGATGTTTTACATATATCTCTATGTTTTATTAATGAATACATAATATAATTGAAGATATACACCATGGAAATGAGCTTTAAATTTTTCGGTTTTGCTAAAATTTTTACACTATTATTTTTTATTTGGATAAAAAATTGTCACAAGGATGATGTAAAACTACAATATTTAAAATGTTATCCTTCTTTAATTAATTTTTTTTATATAAATATAATTTCTTATTGTAGAAACGTATATATTTCATAATTATTATTTTTTTTTTTTTTCATTACAGAAATCTCTCAATATGTCATATGATATTTCAAATAAGTTAGTAGAATCATTTAATTATAGACCATGTCGATTATTATCGTATCATCACAGTTATGACGAATTAATGTGTGATTACGTAAATGATTACAGAATTCGTGAAATGATGAGAAATAACCGAAAGAATAAACAAAGGAAAAGAAAAGAAGACATGTATAAAAGCAAGGCTTATGTTCATGGAAAAAAATTAATGGATGAAATTAATGAAACATATAAAATTAAGAAAGGCAAAAATTTTGTTAAAAAATCATACAAGAAGGGAAAAAAACTAAAATTATATATAATGTTTGGAGTACCTCTAATTGTAAGTGTTTTAGCTTCTTTTTATTTTCCCTTAGCATCTTTTAATAGTAATACAGGTTTAATGTTTTTTATGAGAGTACTATCCATAATAGCTACGTTCTTACTTATGTACATTTTCATGTTACTTTTAAAATACCATAATTTGATAAAGTGATATCCTAGTTTCTATCTTAAGTGATAATTTTTATTCATTAAAAAATACATTTAAATAATATATAAAGTGCTCTAGTTGTTTACATAATATCACATGTGGAACAACATTTTGATGAAAATTTAATGTGTCTATAATAAAATATATGATAATGAAAATTTACATGAAACATATCATAATATATAGATATAAATGAAAAAATTATGTCTAACAATGTTAATAATTGTATACATATCTATTCTTTCAATGTTATCCATTATATGTGCACTTATAAATATGTCAGTTTTTATAAAAATAACTATTATGAAACATGCACAAAAGTTAATGAAGTTATGAAGCATTTGAATTCAAATATGCATATATAATTATATGAACAATTATCCCAATTATTTATATCACCAAATATATTATAAACTAGCGTACAGCAAGGATAAATATTTTAAAACGAAGTGTT